GAGTCAATGAAGCACAGCAGTGCTGTCTGAAAGTATGTGTAAGTAGTCATGGCTTATGGATGGATGAGCCTCACAGAATGCCTGGGTGGCCCTCCAGCTTTTTATTGGAGGATTTCCAGTTACCAGAATCTATAGATCTTTTCTCTTTGGTTATTCTGTTTCTCCAGTTTAGTATTGTCCAATCTCCTGTTAGGGAGGTATAAGTTTGACCACTGGAATTCTGGAAGCTGGATGAAAGAATGGAGCAGGGGACTTTCTGATTTTAGTCCCAGGCCTCCTATCTATCCTAGTAATGCCTGGTTTCCAAAGTTTTGAGCCTTTCTGGTTGATTTTCTCCAAATAATAAAATCCTGTCTCCTCTAAGTATGAGAGTAAGAACCAGAGAGATCTATCTTCCCTAACACAGATTTTCAAAATGCTTCCCCATTTTTCTGACCTGTTCGCCATACATACTTTCTGTAGAATCTGGTGCCTCTGAGTGTCCTGGACTTTGCCTGCTCTGTTGTCTTCTCATCAGCATTGCCTCAGTGCCTGGTGTCACCAACCTCTGCACTGCTGAGTCAGTCATTGCTCCTCTGTTGGTTTTCACTCCTTGTATTTTGTCACTCAGGTTATAGATATGTGATAGTTTCATTGAAGATGAGATTTGTGTTTTTATTGCTCATTTTCCCTTGTTTTGGACTGATTTCTGAGAGAAAGGTGAAGCAAAAAGATTTTCACTTAGCCATTTTTAAACTGCATCATTATTTGTTTTATAATTAGAAAAAAACCAAAGCTATTTTCTTTTTGAGGGGAAATCAGCTATTCATTAAGAAATTTAATATGGATAGCAGCAATTATAACTAAAGAAAGTGTTGGAATCACTAGAAGAGTTTATAGGAGACTTGGTTGTTTTTGAAGAGAGTGATGGAAGCAGACCCTGGTAAAGGTGGGACTCATCAAGAGCAAAGGTGTGGAATTAGGTCTGATAACAAATAAAGGAAGATGAGCACGCTTATATGCAGTGGAATAAAGTTGACCTTAGAATTAATAATCTGCTCTTTTGATATTTTTAAAGTAAATAAAAACACTAGATATTTTAAATCTTAGATAATATACTTCTCACATTATCACACTAAATAAAAAAGTTGAAAGTATGTAATATTAACAAAAAAATAGCTGCTTGGGGCTCCTATTTAATTTTTTTAATCTTGAAAAGTGTTAAGTGTAAGCTCTCAGTAATAAGAGACTCTTCTGATCAATGACTTCATATTCTTCAGCCTACTCTATAGCTTCTGCCTGTTTATTTTTGTTCAGTGGAATTTAGTCAATGAACAACCAAAGCATACTGTTAAATATAATTTGATATACTAAGTGATGATGTTTCTTTCAGGTTTAGATTTTAGAATATTTTTTCTCTGTGAATTTTAAATGATTATGTACCAATGAGCTCACTAAATCAAAATAATAAGTATAATCACCTGATGCTATTCTTTGTTTAGTAATCAGGTACTTTATATGGCAAGGGCTTCCCTGGTGACTCAGTGGTAAAGAATCTGCCTGCCAATGCAGGAGGTGCGGGTTCAATCCCTAGGTCAGGAAGATCCCCTGATCAAGAAATGGCAACCCACTCCAGTATTCTCGCCTGGAAAATACCATACCAGGCTACAGTCCATGGGGTTGCAAAGAGTGAGACACAACTTAGCGACTAAACAACAGCAACAACTTTATGTGGCAAGCCTGTATCATTAGTTCATACCTTTAAGCACATTCCAGTCGTATTTGCCACTTCAGATGCTTATTTCAAACTCTACTGCTATGAAAATGGATTCTGGTAGCTCTCAACATTTACTTTATCTGCTTGTTTTTTTGAAATTATCAGGAAGAATATAAGTTTGTGTGTGTATGTGTGTGCGTAAAATAACAAAAATTACATTGGGAATTCTTGCATGACGTTTCTACTGTTAGGTGCTGATTATTTATTTAATAAATTCTTAACAGCTTTTATAACTTAAAATTGTTCACATTTTCAATCAGTAGAAAAGAAAACGAGAGAGAAGGAAGGTGGTTGTTGTTGTTTAGTCACTAGGTCAATCATGTCTGACTCTTGTGATTCTGTGGGCTATAGCCCGCCAGCTTCCTCTGTCTGTGGGATTTCCCAGCAAGAATACTGAAGCAGGTTGCCATTTCCTTCTCCAGGGGATCTTCCTGACCCAGGGATCAAACCCATGTCTCCTGCATTGCAGAAAGATTCTTTACCACTGAGCCACTGAGGAAGCCTGCAAGGAGGAGGATGAAAGTGAAAGTTGCTCAGTCATGTCCGACTCTTTGCAGTCCCATGGACTGTAGAGTCCTTGGAATTCTCCAGGCCAGAATACTGGAGTGGGTAGCCTTTCCCTTCCCCAAGGGATCTTCCCAACCCAGGGATCGAACCCAGAAGGAGGGTAGTGGTCATTAAATACCAGCTCATAGTTTTCTCATCTCTGACAAAGAATTCCCTGGTCTGCTGTGAAATTAAAAAATAAACCAGAAATTGTTCACATTTCAGACATTTATTTTGGCTGACAGGATGCTTAACTTTTTTGATTCACATTGACAACTAGCTGTGGGAAAGAAACTCAGATTCTTGACTCAATGGCACTATGGAATTATTAGTATATGGTAAAGTAGTTTATATAAATGAGAACAAAATATCTTGGAACTGCCTTCCAACATTTCCAGTACTTTTTTAAAAAGTATATTAATTATCTATAGCAAAAACCACTACAATATTGTAATTAGCCTCCAATTAAAATAAATAAATTTTTTTAAAAAGTGTATTATCCCTTTTCATCTTTTCATGTTGTCTATAATTGGGACTTGATACATAAACTATGCAATGTTAATGACAGACAATTAATGATCTTTTTTTTTTCCCTTAGATACATCCAGAAAGTACCCAGAAGAAACCTTCTACTGGAAAAACAGAAAAAGCATCATTTATAACACTGGAATTTGTGGACAATTTGTTAAAATGGCAGAAAATAGTGAAAGTAATAGTAAAAACGTAGATGTAAGGCCCAAAACTAGCCGGAGTCGAAGTGCTGACAGAAAGGATGGTTATGTGTGGAGTGGAAAGAAGTTATCTTGGTCAAAAAAGAGTGAAAGTTGTTCAGATGCTGAAACAGTGAGTGCTATAGAAAAAAGTGAAGTTCCTTTAAGGAGCCAAGAAAGGAAGCACAGCTGTTCATCTATCGAATTGGATTTAGATCATTCCTGTGGGCATAGATTTTTAGGCCGATCTCTTAAACAGAAACTGCAAGATGCTGTGGGGCAGTGTTTTCCAATAAAGAATTGTAGTAGTCGGCACTCTTCAGGGCTTCCATCTAAAAGAAAAATTCATATCAGTGAACTCATGTTAGATAAGTGTCCTTTCCCACCTCGATCAGATTTAGCCTTTAGGTGGCATTTTATTAAACGACACACTGCTCCTATAAGTCCCAAATCAGATGAATGGGTAAGCACAGACTTGTCTCAGAGCGAATTGAGGGATGGTCAACTAAAACAACGAAGAAACATGGAAGAGGTCAGCTGCTTCTCACATACCAGTGTTCAGCCCTGTGTCATAACCAGTAACAATTCTTCAAGTAGAGGTGATCCTGGGACTGACTCTATAGTGAACCTGGCTTCAAATAACAGCATAGAAGATAGTGATATGGATTCAGATGATGAAATTATAACACTTTGCACAAGTTCCCGGAAAAGAAACAAACCCAAATGGGAAATTGATGAAGAAATCCTGCAACTGGAAACACCTCCCAAGTACCATACTCAGATTGATTATGTCCACTGTCTTGTACCAGACCTCCTTCAGATCAATAATAATCCATGTTACTGGGGCGTTATGGATAAATACGCAGCTGAAGCTCTACTAGAAGGAAAACCAGAGGGCACCTTTTTACTGCGAGATTCAGCACAGGAAGACTATTTATTCTCCGTTAGTTTTAGACGCTATAGTCGTTCTCTTCATGCTAGAATTGAACAGTGGAATCACAACTTTAGCTTTGATGCACATGATCCTTGTGTCTTCCATTCGCCTGACATTACTGGGCTCCTAGAGCATTATAAGGACCCGAGTGCCTGTATGTTCTTCGAACCACTTTTATCCACTCCTTTAATTCGGACTTTCCCCTTTTCCCTGCAGCATATATGCAGAACAGTTATTTGTAACTGTACAACTTACGATGGCATTGATGCCCTTCCAATTCCTTCTTCCATGAAATTATATCTGAAGGAATATCACTATAAGTCAAAAGTTAGAGTACTCAGGATTGATGCACCAGAACAGCAATGCTAGAAAAAGGGTAGGAACAAGGGAGTGGTTATATATGTATTTTCATTTAATATTTTATTTTTCTTATTATACCACTTTGAATTTTTCTACAAGGGCAGTTGAAGTCCAAAATAAACCTCTGCCCTAAATTTTACTTCCAAATCAGTTTATTTTTCTTAGGATACAGTAATTGTTGAACAATAATAATTGTTACACACTAGGGGTTAATGGATATTTTTGACCAGGTTTGGTTTTTGTTTTTACCATGTAGGTTGTATACTTAATTTTTTTCTTTTCTTAATTGTAACTTAAATATGATCCAGGGATATTTGAAGTTTGTAGGCATTGCAAACACATTTAAATAATCTGTATTTCATACTTTTCTTTAAAAATAATTGTTTCTTTTCCTACATATAACGTATAAAACGCTTTGTTAACCTATGTCATTGGCATTCCTATACATAAGATATAGTTTCCACATCATCCTTTCGTTTGTTTTAAAAGCCTTCAGTAAAGCTGTGTGTGTTGTAATTTACTAATAGGGATGTTAAAAGTTAACAAAATGGCTTAAAATCAAACTTGATGTGTTTTCATTTTAAATATTAATTGTTAAGCTGAATTACTAAATTTGATTAATCAGGTCAGTAAGAATCAAATGAGGACATGATATCTTAGAGATGAATTTATTCTTCTGTAATGTGGCATGGTCATTTATTATTCCTTGAATAGATCTTTCTCTCAGACTTGGAAGAGTTACCATCTTCAGAACATAAGTATTCTTCCCTTCTCACTGGAAGCTTTAAAAATAATGATAATACTATTAGTAACTAGTAATTACTAAATAATAAAGCAGCTGGGGTTTTTTTCTGTATTTACTTGTGAACTGTTGCTTCTGCTTAGCTCTTTTTTAGAAACTGAACCTGTTACTTTGGAGAGATGCCACAGTTTATAAACAGCCACAAATTTCCATTGGTAACCAAAGAGACCTAAGTAGTTTTCCATTATTTTGAATTGAGCTTGAATAAAGATTCAAGAAGTAAACATGGAGCTCAGTATTCAGGGAACTTAATACTGGTTTTGATTTTCAGATTTCAGGTAACTATTCCTATTTTCAGAACTAACATATCTTTAGTATGGCTTCAGAAAAAGGAAAACATTTTGAGAGCTATATCGCTTATGCCATACTGAACAATACTGAGCACTGGGTATAATATTTTAAGTTTAGCATCTCAAAAACAGAGAAGCATTTTTTAGAAAACATTATCCCAATATAATAAGATAAATGCAATGATAGCCTATTCAACTTTTCTTTTTTAAAGAATCAATAAATAATAAATTTCCTAGACAGTTATTTTTTCTGGTGAGTTGTCTACCCCTTTGTACAAATTAGCATTTTTAATATAGTAAATTGATCTCTTGATGCTAGTTTAGCTCTAGTAGGAAGCTGTTTCTACCTGGATTGAAAAAAATTTGACTCAAATTTCCCAGTTAGAATAGATGTTTCTTAAGTATTGCTTTTATGTTGTAGCATTTCCCTTTCCTACAGTTTTGCTGTTAACATAAAGATGGCATTTAAAATTAATTGTTTTAAAATAAGTTTTTAGGAGTTATCACAAAATCAAACAAAAAAATCTCTGTTACCATTATCTTCTAGCATCTTTTTTTCTCAAGTGATCTCAAGATTGTCTTGGTTCCAGTGAGGGTTAGCTACTAAAAGAGCACCTCTCAGCAGTGATGAGGCTCAGGATAGCAACATCAGTGTCAGGATAAATATCTCTTCTAAAGATGATATTTCCCTTTTACAAAATTTGGACAGTCTCATACTACCTCATCTTTATTGTGGCGCTTTTGTAGATCACTGAGAAGCTTATCTTATTTACCAATATAACGCTTCCTAAACATCCATCTTTGGTGAAGAAAATTAACAGTATGGTTAGACTCTACCCATAATTATAGTTTTTTATCAGAATTTGATATTGAGACTTTCTGTTTCTATGAAACAATATTGTTTTAAATATTTTTCTTTTAAAGATAACTTTTTATCAATACAGAAAACCTAAGGAATGATTAGCTAATGAATATTCTGTTAAAGGTAATTTTATAAAGAAGAAAATATGCTGTCTTTTATAATGGTAAAAATTAGTATTTATATGAAAATCAAGAACTAAGTAGCCTTTCATATATTCAAACTGGTTGCTTGTGATATATTTTCTCTGGCTTTCTTATTTTTTCAACTTCAAGGTATTGATAGCTATTAACATTTTCAAAATACTGCCATTTATATAGCCTTGAAGTAGATGATCTAATAAATGAGAGCAGGAAAGAGACTCATTTACTCTGAAACGATTTGTATTTTTTCCTTTGGTATTTGCTACAGTGAAAAGAAATTGGGAAAGTAGAAATGTAAGATTTGAGAAGGGAATTGATTACTGTGAAGGAAAAAGAAGAGTAAGAATTCTTTAGAGCTTGAAGAGACTGGAATTTAGAAAGGTTAAGTCTTTCTCAGTGACTTTTGAGGACACATTTGAAAGAGTATTCAGCATTCAGAAACTTAACTCATTAAAAATATACTTACTGGAATTATGCGTAAGTAAATGAGTATAAATTTTGAGAGGAACAATGTGGGGAGATGTATAAATATAAATTTTGTAGCTAAGTTGAACACTGAGCATTTGAAAAGTGTGTAAATTTCAGAGTCGAGAAAGCATTCAGCATGGTGGAAATGTGCTTACTGATGAGAGAGGATGGGGCTAAAAGAAACAAGATAAAATATTAAAATTAAGAATTTAGGCATCACCTCAGGGGAAAGCCTTGACAGTGAAAGGGAACTACTTAATCGCTAATAGCTAGTCTGGACCAGACACTTAAATGCGCTTTGGGAATCATCCTGCACTAACCAGGAAATAAACTTGATTTTTCTAATTCTCTCTGAAGCTTTCAAGAGTACCCCCAAGCCCACCTCCCCTTTTTTTAAGCTATAGCATCTTGATTCATACTGTACTTCTGAAACATGCTGAATGGATTTTTTTTAGGTTACCTGAGCATTTTTGTACGAATTATATCTGATCTTTCTATAACCGTGCCATTCACTTAAATAATTCATGGAATGGTTTAATTTAAAGGAAGACCTAATAGGAAGAAGATTAAAGGAAGCTTTTAGTCAGCCTGTGGCTAGATTTATTGATTTGGTGATCAGACTTGTGTTCTTTCCTGAATTTCAGCTAATGGCAAACTGTGGTCAAAAAATGGCTTTCAGTTAAAGTTTTGACTTCTTATTGTAAATAATATAAAGAATGTCTAAGTAATTAGAAATCCTTTTTAAAAAGTAGAGCAAATGTGGCAAATAGAATTCTTCATTATACAAATTCCATTTCTTTTTATAAGAAAAACCATTATCATTTATTCATGAGTCAAAGCCATTAAGAAGATAAATCAAGTTATCAGCTTCCTGTCTCTCTTAAATTTGGATCATTTTATAGATCCATGTAATAGAGAGCTTCCTTCCTATGAAACGAAAATCTTGAGACCTAACTCTTAGACTCTTAGTTTTCATTAAAAATCTTTTTTGTCACTTTTAGCTATAATCAGAGTCAGATAGATGATACATTGATTTTGGCAGAGGAAATCTCACAGGAAGTAGACTTAATTATATAACATTCCTTGAGGCAACACAAGGGCAACACTGTTTAAATGTAAAGTAGATTGTGTGTTAGGTAATTTAATGCCCAAATGAATAAAAGATTTTAAGTCAAGCAGATTGTTTCTACTTTGGAAAAAAATTGTTTACAATCTTCATTTTACATAAACAGTTTTACATTCATTTTTACTTCTAAAGAATGGACAGAAAGCACAAGGGGTTTTTCTCTTTTAATGGTCTACTGGAAATGAGCAACACTACAAGAGTCTGTACTATTAACACATGAAGATACTGGAGACAAAGGGAAGTAACTGTATGGCTTCTAAATAAAAATGTAGACTAATGGATATAATCCAGTGATGAGGAATTTAAGGCACATGACTCCTATTTCAGATAAAGACAGTCTTTTACTTTTTAATTTTGAATACATTACTCAATTCTATACCTTTAATTTCCTAGCACATAAAATATAGATGATAATATATGTCACTTGACTTCCTGCAGGTTAATTCTTTAGTTAAGAGGTGACCCTTGGAGCATACTTGAAAATATTTCTGTATAGCTGTTAAGTACTAATGTGATGACAGGTTTTCAAAGTATCCCTTTAGAGAACCCTGCAGATTCACATTTCATTTCTTTTAGTCTATAAAGGCCTTGACTTGATTTGACAATAAAGATAATGGTACAATTTGAATTTATGGTTTAGATTCTGCAGTTAGATGAACAGTTGCAATTTCCTCCTACTCTTAATAAGGTTTATGTAAAATTAATGTTTGCCTAAGTTATTTTAAAAGTTGATTACATTTGCAGGAAGTAAAGATAATCACTTTTGGCATAGTTATAATCAAATTTAAGCTTTCAGACTTGAGTATAAAACTCAAGGAGGTTTACTTAAATTATGCTGACTTTGCTAGAATTGGGTAAATTCTGTATAAACCAAGTATGAACTAGATATATACTTGAATATACAGAGTTTAAGTAGTAACTTCACAAAGCTGTTAGTACTCATCAATCAGGCTTGTATGATCCATCCCTTACCTAAAAAGAAGTAGAGTGTTTCCCTTTTTATTTCTAATCCTGAAGTTGAATGTTTCTTCTTGGATGTGAGTTCAAATAAATTGATCTGAATACATTTTCATTTCTTATTAATTAAAACCTCATATATAAAATCCAAAGGCTTTGTAGTCTGTTTTCAAAACACTGCTGTATATCCTTACCTGACACGTTCAACTTAGAGAAATTTTTAAATCTGTACACACATTTTCCTTTCAGTTTCTAGTGTTAGGTCTTCCAGAAACAGATGTCAAATGTGATTAAATGTACGAGCGATGTATTGAAGGGCGATGGACACCTTTGAAGAATAAAGGCGACTGGGACTTCCCTGGTGGTCCATTGGTTATAATTCTGCTTACACACACAAGGAATAAGAAAGAAAGCAGGGAGAGGTGGTGAAGTCTTTATACCACATTGCAGGTCTGACATCTGTAAAAGAAACTGAAGGAAGCACTGGGTAGGATGGGCGGTGCAGTTCTGAAAAGGCCAGGCGGTGGATTTAGTTCCCAACAGGTTGCCTGTTGGAGCCCACATGGGACAGGAATGGCCTAATTTGATAATTCCCACTGTGCTCAGTTATTGACTGGGAATATGGGACAAGCTGAAGGCTGTTGGTCACTAATATACATGACCGGGACTAGAGTGAGGCACTTAAATATGGGCATAAATTTGACCATAAACCCAGTAATGAGAATAACTTTCGGTGTGACATTTAAAATTCAGGGTTAATGCAAAATGATCCGTATGATGAGCGAAATATCAAAAACTTATTTTAGCACTATTTTTATGACTTACTGTTGCTTCTGACTTCCTATGGCTCCACAGGGCACTGCTGATTCACAGCCTCCTATGAAGATAAAGTAGGTCACACTAGTATCCTTTTCCATAGACCACTGCCCTTATCCAAAGACATGTCTTCCCCAGGCTTCAGTTCAGTTCAGTCGCTCAGTCGTGTCCAGCTCTTTATGACCCCGTGGACTGCACCGTGCCAGGCCTCCCTGTCCATCACCAACTCCCGGAGTTTACCCAAACTCATGGCCACTGAGTCAGTGATGACATCCATTATTCCATGGTGTATATGTACCACAGCTCTTTACGACCCCGTGGACTGCACCGTGCCAGGCCTCCCTGTCCATCACCAACTCCCGGAGTTTACCCAAACTCATGGCCACTGAGTCAGTGATGACATCCAACCATCCCATCCTCTGTTGTCCCCTTCTCCTGCCCTCAATCTTTCCCAGCATCAGATCTTTTCAAATGAGTCAGCTCTTCACATTTGGTGGCCAAAGTATTGAAGTTTCAGCTTCAACATCAGTCCTTCCAGTGTACACCCAGGACTGATCTCCTTTAGGATGAACTGATTGGAACTCCTTACAGTCCAAGGGGCTCTCAAGGGTCCACAGTTCAAAAGCATCAATTCTGCGCTCAGCTTTCTTTACAGTCCAACTCACATCCATACATGACTACTGGAAAAATCATAGCTTTGACTAGAGGGACCTTTGTTGACAAAGTAATGTCTGCTTTTTAATATGCTGTCTAGGTTGGTCATAACTTTCCTTCTAAGGAGTAAGCGTCTTTTGATTTTATGGCTGCAGTCACCATCTGCAGTTATTTTGGAACCAAAAAAGTCTGTCACTGTTTCCCCATCTATTTGCCATGAATTGATGGGATCAGATGCCATGATCTTTAATGCTGAGTTTTAGGCCAACTTTCTCTCCTTTTTCACTTTCCATAGGCTTAAGTGTTAATATTTGGAGTTTCCCTGTCGCTCATTGTTCAGTATGGGAATTACGTGTGCTGTGGAATAAACTCAGGTAGGTCTTTTAAGAAGCTAATAGTAAAACGTCCACCCACCAATCCACTAACAGCAAGTGAAAATAAAATCTAAGACTACTGCATACGTTTTAATTTTTACACTAAAACATATGTACATGTTATATATGTATATTTTGCACAACACATAATTATGACATCTTCTTTGTTAGCACATTTCCTGGCCGCTGGGGCCATGTGTCAATTACCTTTTGGGTCTGTCACAGAGTAGGTACGTAAAGGTTTATTTAAAACTGAACTACGGGAAGAAAAACATACTGATCAGAAAAAACCTGCAAAGATATCCATTCTTTTCGTTAATATCAATTTGTCAAGCCATTTGCAAACGTATTCACTTTTCTGTACTGTTGCTTTGCTACTACTGCTGCTAAATCGCTTCAGTCGTGTCCGACTGTGCGACCCCATAGACGGCTGCCCACCAGGCTCCGCCATCCCTGGGATCCCCCAGGCAGGAACACTGGAGTGGGTTGCCATTTCCTTCTCCAATGCATGAAAGTGAAAAGTGAAAGTGAAGTCGCTCAGTCGTGTCCGACTCAGCGATCCCATGGANCCCACCAGGCTCCGCCATCCCTGGGATTCTCCAGGCAGGAACACTGGAGTGGGTTGCCATTTCCTTCTCCAATGCATGAAAGTGAAAAGTGAAAGTGAAGTCGCTCAGTCGTGTCCGACTCAGCGATCCCATGGACTGCAGCCCACCAGGCTCCTTCATCCATGGGATTTTCCAGACAAGAGTACTGGAGTGGGGTGCCATTGCCTTCTCGCCCTTCACAATTTTGGCCAACGGATCCGTGCCCCGGGTTAGAAGGCATTCACACCTAGCCAGCTTCGAGGCCTAACTCTAAATATCGCCAAGTGTAGGGAATCCAGAACTTGCTTTCAAGCCTCTCCAGGAGACAATTTCCGCCAGGCTGCCCAGAACGCAACCCGCCACTAGCGTTTCATCTAGACTGCTCAGAACTCCGGGAAACCAGCGAGCTTTCCTCCCGCCCACCAAGAGAAAAACAGCAGAGCAGCCGTGGACCGGCTGGCCGCAGTGCCACCGGGGCCCTGTGGAGGGCGCGCGCGGCCGGGCCCCGCCGACCAGAGGGGAGGCGGAGCCGGGTGGGGGCAGCGCGTTCCGAGCACGGCGCTTCCTGTTCCGGCGCCAGGAGGAGCCGCGCGCTGCTGGTGCTGCTGCCGCCCCCATCTCCGTCTCCGCTGCCGTTGGTCGGGCTACTCTCGGTTCTTCAGCGCCCAGTTCTCTCCGACCCATCGCCGCTTCTAGATCTTGCTGCGAGTTCGGATCTTGCCGGGTGAGGCTGCCTCGGCGCTAGCGGGGTCATGGAGGAGAGCGAGGGAGCCCGCCCAAGCGGGACGCGGGGACAGTAACGGAGGTGCCTCAGACGCCTCTTTGGGGAGGCCGGGGGCTAAGAGTCTCTCCCCGTGGTTTTCCTTTCGGCAGTGGGCAATCAGCCCGCTCGCCCCCCAAGGAGAAGGCGCCGGGGGCGGCTGACGTCGTACCGATGGGTTTCTCGGCGGGTGACGTCAGCCCTGGCTCGGGGGCGGGGCCGGGAGCGGGCCTGGCCCCTCCCCCACCCTTTCCCGGGCGGGCGCGACCCGCTCGGAGGCCGGTTCGCTCCGGTTAATCCCGGACTCCTTTTGTTCGCTGGCCTCCGAAGGGCTGCTCGCCTCGCGCCCCTTGGCCCCGACTCCCTCCCCCACTCATTAATTGCTAATGAAAGGGAGAGGAAGGCTGAAAGAGATTCTTGCAGGAGTCTTCGGTGCTAGTTTAAGATTATTCGCAGTATGAGGTTTTGCTCATCTTTTTTTTTTTTTTTTTTTTGAAAAGAAACCTTTTAAATTGTACTTAACTCTTTTTTCCTTCGAATTNTGAATATCCTTGGCAAACTGAGGAGTGTTGAGTTCTGTAATGCTCCCTTATTTTAGGATTTAGGAGCGCCTGGTGGCTTTGGACCGTTTTCTTCTGAAAACCGAGAGTGGTGCTTTTAATAAATGGGGATTGTAATGTTGAAGCATGGAAGCATACTCACCTGACAGAAGAAAAAAAAAATTTACAGGGTTGGTACTAAAGAAATACACGCTCGTACATTTGGTGGCTATGAGTTTGTTTTGAAAACGATCCCTCCATTATAGGCGAAGGTACACTTCAGAAGTCTTTCAGAAGTTCTTTGTTCAGGAATAGTGCTCTTTGGGCAGGAGGAATAGAAATTTTTCTCAATACTAGTGTCTGAACTTTTATTCAAAGCTAGTTTGTTTCAGAAACTTAAGTTATGTGTACTGGAATGTCCCTTTTCCTCTCTCCACGAGGAACGGAGACCCAGAGACAGCCCTTTAACTGAAATCCTTGGGACCAGTGTGTTTTGGAATTCAGAAATCTTGAAATTTTATCTTTAGATTTTAGAGAGACGATAAGGTGCAAAGATGAGAGATCACACCAGCGGAGTCGGGGCAGCGTCCCCAATTCAGCATTAATATTTGTGCAGCGATAGGTAGGAATTAATAAAACCTGTAAATAGCCTCAGGTCAGGTTTTGCCACCAAGTAAGTTTTATGTCAAACTTGGGAACACTTCTTTGATTTCTAAAGGTTTCTGAACTGAGAACTGCAGATAAAAATTTACGAACCTATCATAGCAATTTGTAAAAACTGACATCTGTGGAGTTTTTGCTGCCTGCCAGACAGTGACCAGGAGATTTATTGTGTAAGTCTCACAGCAAACCTGTGAGGTGGATACTACTGTCTACTTTCACCTCCGAGGTTTGCACAGCTTGGCTTGTCCAGAGCCCACCAGTGAACTGCAGCATTACCTAGTTTGAAATATTTTTGGTGTGCACGCCTTTATTTTTTTAATGCTTTTTAAATTGAAGGATAATTGCTTTACAATATTGTGTTCGTTTTTGCCATACATCAGCCTGTACTAACCATAGGTATATACATATGTCCCCTCCTTCTTGAACTTCCTCCGACCCCTCTCCCCAGGCTTGCAATATGCTGGTACACCGAGGGAGAGAAGATGATATATTTATTTTCTAGGCACTTTTATTATAGGCACTTGATTTACCAGTCCCATTTAGTCCTGACCTTAAGGGCCCATTATTATAGTTGAAGTAACAGATTCATTGAGGTGAGCTGTCTCTGAAATGGTCAAACTTTGGTCTAGAGACTCTGGTTGAAGCTTTCATATTCCTCCCTTTTTTACATTGCGGCCAATCTGAGCTGCTTATACGTCCCACAGATCTCTTACCCGCCCCCGCCCCAGCTTTTGCACTTACTGCTCCTTTCCCTAGGACTTACCCCAGGCCTTTTTGTTCTCCCACACTGCAAAGACAGGACTCCTCAGGATTCCTCCCTTGATAATCCTTGCCTTGATACCTTTAGGAGCTCTTCAAGGTGCTCCCATAGTGCCCTGCTCTTACGGCACGCAGCCTGCTGTTTAAATGGTAGTTCTCCACCAGACTGGGAATGGCAGTTAAGTGTTTATTCCATGTAACACTATTCATTTCCCAAGGCCCAATGCAGTACCTGGCACTTATGTTCCAGTAAGTATGAGTGTAGAAAATAGGACTGACAGGAGCTTGTTGAAAAGTTATTTTTTTAATTACATATTTTTAAATAATTTTAAATGTTCAAAAACATGCAGATCCCCAATTTCTTGAGTTGTCCAAATATAAAATAGAGTGTATCTAATAAGTCCCAATACTAGAAACTATCACATAAAAATGCTCATTCAAAATTTATATTTTCAGTACAATATATTACCAGTATCCCTTCCCCATACTAAACAAGTCAATGGAAAAATCCTGATTCCCCTTAGTGAGTCTTAATAAATATCTTACTTGTTTATAACTGTAGATTTTTATCTTTGAAGTAGTCAGGAATTGTAACTGTTTTGCTGATGAGAAAAATGGCCTCTGGTTAAAAACTGTCTTTGTCAAAAGATTCAGACAAAAGATTTGGTGTCCCGGTTTCCTAACTGTGTAGTCCCATACTGTTTTTGACTCCTACTACAGTTTGATGACCCTTTGAAATATTCCTTGTCCAATACGCACCAGTAATTTATGGGGTTCAACTTTTTAAAACTTCCCCATGATTGAATTACTATTTTTTATTCTAAAGGCCATAGGTGTTACAGAAATGCTTTATGTTTCTAATGCTAGTTGAAAGAAATTATGTACTCTTGTTTTAAAATTGCTCTTCAGAAAATACAGTGATTATTTTACACATGATGTGTATTGCCATAAAGTGTTAATGGAAACTTTTGAAGTGATAGCTTTAGATTTTTCCAAAACGAAAAGTTAAAGTCTTCCTTGATTATAAACTTTTTTTTTGTAGTTCAAGATCACATTGGACTCATCTTAATTAGCATAATCCATATGTTTTGGAGGTTTTTTCCCCCCCCAAGAAAATCTAGGGTTTGGGGGGGATTTCCTAGCAGTCCAATGGTTTGTTTGTTTTGTTTTGTTTTTCAAGTCTCAATGTCCACTCTAGTGGATTGTACTCTAGATTGGAGCACTGATTGATGTCCAACTCTATTTTTTTAACTACTTTATGGTGAAAGTATTCCCCAAATAGTAAATTGGAATGTTTCCAATTAATATGAATACTGTTTGGGTATGGAGAACAGGTTGCTTTACAGTGCAATGCTGTAAAACAGGAAGTGACCTCTATTTCTAATCCCTTTGGTCAAGGCTTTATTATCTCCTCTATCTTCCAGGATTTGATGTTGAATTTAAACTTTTGAAAGCCAGAGTTAGATTTTAATGTAATGCTATGATTAATTAACCATAGTTTTTCAAAAACTAAGAAGGAAATGAGTGATTCTAAAAACCTGAACGGTAACACAGGTGAAATTGAATGGGTTGCTTAGTTAGGTTTTTTGCTCTAGAATTAATGTGAACTTTGATACAGAACCACTTTCTGTTTCGAAACAGCTCACCCTGTGTGAAAAGAATGTTAGTCCTCGGTAGACTTTAAACTTGTGCATGGATAAACTTTCTTTCAGGTGTTAGTCCTAAGAATCTACTATTGTGTGATGTTACTTTTTAGTATAAAACCTTACATGGAAACGAATGAATAAATATATTTGCTCTACATTCATGATGTGTTTTTTAATCTTATGAATTTAAGAGCAAGGTTATAGCTGTTGTGACAGCAGGCTTCCTGTTCATTTTCTTTATCATTCCTCATAATAACCATACCACACGAACTAAAACTCTGTAAATGGCTCAATATTGAGCAACCTATATATAACTATATTGTATATTCGTGGGG